GTTATAAGTTTTATTATTCTGGAGGTGATGGAAAGAGGAACGGTGTAGAAATTGTATTGGATAAGGATATGAAAAACATATGTGACGGATGTTAGGAGAATAAATGATAGAGTGATTTTGGTGAAATTGGTAATGCAAGATTCAATTTTGAACGTGAACACTGTATATGCAGCGCAGCGTGGATGTGATGATAGTATGAAAGAAAAGTTTTGGAAAGATTTTGATGCGGTGATGATGGATATTCCTCAGAATGAGGATATTTATGTGAGTGGAGATTTCAATGGACACGTAGGAAGAATGCGTGGAGAATATAACAGAGTGCATGGGGGATGGGGCTTTGGGAGCAGAAATTAGGACGGAGAGTCCTTGCTGCAGGCAGCCTCCGCTATTGACTTGGCCATTGTGAATTCTTTTTTCAAAAGAAAGACCAACATCTAATTACTTACAGAAGCGGAAATCATAGCACTCAAATAGATTACTTCTTCAAGAGGAGATGCAAAATAAGCACGGCCAAGGACTGTAAGGTTATACCAGAGGAGCTACTAGTCTCTCAACATCGACTACTGGTAATGGAGACTAAAATACAAGTCAAAACTGTTATCAAAAAGCCAAGGTCCCCTTCGAAAATCAAGTGGCATTTGATAGAGAAAGAAGAGCATGCGAGGGAATTCCAAAGGCATGTGGTTGATAAAATGATAGAAATGAATGAGATGGAAGAAAAATCAGTGAATGATTGTTGGCAGGAAATGGCTTTGTGTATTAGAATGATGGCGAAGAATGTATTTGGAGAAACGAAAGGTAAAGGAAGAATAAATAAGGAAACTTGGTGTTGGAGTGAAGAGGTACAAATCGTTTTGAAAGAAAAGAAGAATACATTTAAGGAATGGAAGCGTAGATTACAAGGATGTAACTACTAAAGATAATAAAAGAAAGAAAGAAGAAAGACCTTTACCGACTTTCGAAAGCAATAGAGAAGAACGCTAGGGATATTATTTATATCAAATGTATAAAAGATAATGAAGGGAAGGTTTTGACGAAGGATAGAGAGATAAATGAACGCTGGAAATAATATTTTAGTCGATTAATGAATTCCTTTCCACTTTTCAGAGGAAAATGTCTGGACTGGAGTGTTAGAGAATACACCGATTAACATAGGGGTGGTGGAAGAGATAAGTAGGCATGAAGTAAAAGAAGCGGTAATTAATTTGAAAAATAGGAAAGCTGTAGGGCCAGATGGTATACCAGTTCAAGTATGGAAGTTTTTAAAAGCGGACGGGTGGAAGTGGCTGACCTTATTCTTCAATAAGTTATTACAAGAAGAGGCGATCTAGGATGCGTGATGCAGCAGTTTGCTGGTGCCCGTTTTTAAAATAAGGGTGATGTACAGGACTGTAATAACTAAATAAATATATGGGAATAAAGCTCATGTCGCATATTATGAAGTTTGGGAAAAAATTATTGCGAGAAGAAAGTCATGTGACGAGAAGAGTGCTAGGTATGAATGTGGAGGGATATAAGTCGAAAGGAAGACCAAAGAAAAGATGGATGGATTATGTGAAAGATGACATGGATAAGAAATGTGTGAGTATAAAAATCACGGCTGATAGGGGAGAATGGAAGAAAAATACATGTTATGCTGATCCTACCTAGCGTGGGATATGGACAGGCAGAAGAATTATAAAAACTTATTACAAAAAATTTTATCTTAATAGTACCCTAAACTGAATGCCAACTCGACGTACTGACTAGTTCGTGAGAAATAAAACTAAATTTGTGCCAGTGCCCTCATTGACTGAATTTATTTTAACAATAGATGCCATAACATGTTCGTGCAATTATGTGGGACAGGTCATTGCGCCAAGATCGAATCACGCGCAAAATCACGACAGGAAGCATGGCTGATTTTCTTTATTTTAAACTATTTTTCTAGAACAAGGATGCACTCGAGTCACTTTTGACGACTCTAAACTTTATGTCAGTTTCATGTTTCCATTATATGTTTTCCATTACCATACTAAGCAAAGCGCTGGCAACAAATCCACATCATAAACATCACATCGCTGCGCGCTGGTCTAAACCAGTCGTGAGATAACTCAAAAAATCTTCTTCTTAGTCGTTATTTTCATTGCTGAAGGTTATGACCCCGAGTGGTTTTCGAGACTTTATGGACGATTTTCTTCCATGTGGTGCTGTCTTCGTCCTCTCGCAGGGCAGTTGTTGTAAGGAGGCAAAAATCGACGGCGGAGTCTCTTTCCCTCCACCTTATCCACCACAACCAGTTTTTCAAGGTTGTCTGGTTGTCGGCGAGCAATATAACCTAAATACTGTAGGATTCTGTGCTAGCACATTGTGGAAAATCTGTCTGCGACATGAAGCAGCTCAATTATGTGTAATGAAGCAATTATTTACCGAGGAACTATAGTGTTAGGACTAGGTTAGGACAATCTCCCATAATAAGTCATTTGACGAGATATGAAGATTGCCATATTTGATTAGCAATTATAGCGTTAGAATGATTTCGCATAAAATAAAGTGTTATGGACAAGCGTGTCGCTTAACACCAGGCGCACGACTTGTGCGTTCCGTCATTTAGTATCATAAAAGAAAAGTCACTTTAGGAAATATGAAGATCGCATTATTTGATTAGCAACTATAGTGTTAATTCACTCATACATAATAACTCACTTTAAAAAATATGAAGATTGATCTACAATCTCACGTAATAATTCACTGTAGAAAATTTTGAGGATTTGATTGAAGAAGAAAAGGATTGCATTATTATGAGTATCTATAGTGTTAAGAAAATTTTGCTTAATAATAATAACTTACTTTAAAAAATATTAAGATTGCATTATTTGATTATAGTGTTACGGCAGTCCCGCAAATTAACTCAGTTCAGAAAATATGAATATTGCATATTTCATTGCATGACAATCACCCATATTAATTGTTCATGCGTGCTTAAGCGAACTTCAAGGGCATCGAATGAAAATTCTCTTTAGTTGAATATTAATTTAATAATTATTCAACTAAAGACAGGAGGTAAATTTATCACTAAGATTACTTTTTCTTTATTTTCTTGATTAGCTCTTTGGTTGATTTTAAAAGTTAATTGTACCTACTGGAATATATCTATCTATTTTTTCCATTCTCTAAGGAAAGAAAAGTCAAGAGAATACACTCCTGACACCTGTCGGTTGGATATGACTATTATTGTCATAAGCAATAAGTACGGTTCTTAAAATTATGTTGTTATTTTCCCTGTTTTAAAAATAAGTAAATAGCTGAACCGCCAATCGCAAATAGTCATGAAAAAGAAAAAAAACACAAATTTTAGCGATAACTATTTTATTGTAGATTAACGTGTTTACACAGTGATAGTATTTATAACAACGTTATCTGTGTAGTTGTAATATGAATTTTCATGAAATTTTATATCTATAAAGTATTTTTCAAGTAAATATTGTTCGCCACTTCAAAGTTACATCGGTCATTAGATCATGTACTGTCAAGAATGCATTCGCGACGGTCAAAGTTTCGTTCGTCCGAAATATTTTTATAAATATGGAAACCATTCCCAAGCGGTAAGGCAAGTTTAAAAAGTACAGTATAATAGAATCGTCCAATCAAAAGTCCTAAAAAATGTGAAAATCAATATAATGACAAGACGAGGCCATTTCAAGTGTTGTTTTCTGCACACAATCAGCTGTTCACCAAAGTCAACGCATTATTATTATTATTATTCTCTATATGGCATTCATTTTGCAGCTAAGTGTGCCGTAGATAATTACTTCCAAGGATAGGCTGGGATTTTTATTGCACGTAACGCAGCGAAGCATGAAACTACTATACATTTGAATAATCAGTATTTACAAGTATATACAACCATGAAGATCAGAATAATTACTGACTTGTAACATCAGTATAAATTTAAAATTATTTTAATGAAATTATAATTTCTTATAGGTGTAGCCACCGCATATTTGATTTTATATTTATTTATTAAAAATAAAAATCGTACAAAACAATGTTTAAATATAATATAACATAAACCATACTATAAAAATTAGGTATGCCTAAAAATATTGTGAAGTCTTTTATGAAAATATTACGTTCCTTACGTCATTTGAATGGCATTCAAATTACAGTTTAAAAAAGTTAGTGTAATCTGCGAATGAACATTAGTATCAAAAGCGTATAAATATAAAAAGATTTTTTTTTAAATATATAAAACAACATTTTTAAAAACTTTTTACTCGAGTGTTGAATTAGCTAGTTCAAAGTATTAAATAATCACAAATTTTTGATTCTAAGTAATGCAAATTATCATTACCTTTTATCAACATTAATACATCTACAGTCATGTGTGGTTCGACGATTGCATATACAAACTTAGCAATTTCTTACGTCCAGTTGAATTCTACAAATTTTGATTAAATTTCGGGTGCGGGTTGTGGTATTATATTGAGAGAGAAGATCGAGGGGTCGTAGACAAAACTCAATAAATGAATAAATAACACACACATGCATAGCTCCGCACTAGGGAAAACCTGTATAGCAGGTGCCATGGGAACACACACAGACAACCACAAATTACCAGAGATAAATAAATGTAGGCCATACAAATATTTAATTCCGGCCCAGGAATTCTGCCTCGGTTCTGGCCGAACCCGTTCGGCCACCGAGGCAGTCGGGTATATTATAGAATGTGAATTTCCATGAAATTTGTTAAGTATCCATTATATTATACTTTCATGCACTTTTCTATGGTCCCAATATACGGGGTTTGTAACTAAATCGTTTGTACTTTACAATAAATCTTGCTTGTAATATAGACATACATACACTAAGATATCGTTGCCAAATTCGATGTAGAAAAAATGTTAACAAACAAAAACATATTTTCTATGATTTTTAGGGTTTTCACCTCATATTGTTTTTTTTTGTTCATATTGTTTACATTTATCATAATATTTCAATATTTTTCCTCGAAATTCGATTAGGTTATTGATATACCTGAAGACATATCTGTGATGAATTTTGTGCAATAGAAGTAACGAATCGCTAGGTAGTGATTTGAGATCAACATAATAATTACCAGTTAATAACTACTTTCACATTTTTGTCATCCCTAATTATTTTTATTATTTGAAGGGAGTGATTGCAAACATTTCTAGTTCGATTAGAAATTTAAGTTCAGAATTGGAAATTCACTACATGAGTTACGTAGTAAATTAGTACAAAATAAATTCTTACAATTTTGTCTTCACATCTACCATCACCTATCTAGCAGGAAGTAATAATAGGTAGTTATAGAAAACTTAAATATTTTATTCATAAAAATAAGTATTACTTCTACATTACCTACTTGCTTATTTATATTCTAATTACACGAGCAGGCCGCGGGCAGAGCTAGTTAACGAGCAAGATTTCGCAAAAATATCCTTTACACCTGCCGTCATTGCTGGCCTGGCAAAGTTTTATTATCAAACATTCTATATCGAATTTGGCTAGTGTACAGAAATCTAATATTACGAAAATTAACATACTTATTGGGTTGTGTCTGGGACCTCTCAATATGTAGGTAAAATGATAATAATGTTGAATTTCTTACTACTACTTACTTCTACAACAGCGACGATTAATCAACAAGACACGCGATAAGAAAAATGGCTATTCCGGAAGTTAATCAAAATCAAAATCGATGTAGGTTTCAGGCTATTTTATTATCGCTGTCATACTTTGTCTTAGCCATTTCATGTAAAACCTTGCTAAGCTTTTCTCCTGTTTCTTTGACCATGGAGCTAAATTTACTGTCAGGATTGGAAAGTAGAATGTGTGGCTGATCGAACTCTACGACTTCCCCTTTGTCCATAACTAGTACCCTATCTGAATCCATGATAGTGTTTAATCTGTGAGCAATTGTGATCACGGTGCACGCTGTGAATTCACGACGGATCGTTTTCTGAATCAGAGCATCAGTCCTGAAAAATAATCACATTAATATATATATAGTGCTTTCTTTATGATATCAAGTCATGGGATGAACAAGTGCACGCACGCCTAGCTACAACAGTTGTAGCTTTACTCAGAGCTTAAATTGCAAAAATTTGAGAGGCACTGCCACTGACACAAATTGACAAGTCCCAACGATATCTACATAATTATGTAATAGACAAGTCCCATGTGCCTGTGATTTCATCACCTCCCTTACACTTCAAAACCGGAACGCACCGGAACTTTTTTATGAGTATAACTATGAGTGGGCACACACTCATGATGGCCAATCGTTTTTGTTAAAATAATTAATTTATTCATTAAGGTAGTTCATTTATATCGATCGAAGTATTGTTATGTAAAAGCAATAAGGGCTTTTATTTACTGGTCTTATTGACATGAAATCGTTGTCCAAGAATACTTACTGAGGATCGACATTAGCTGTGGCCTCGTCCATGACAAGTATTTTGTTCGAACGCAGCACCGCACGCGCAAGGCATACCAGCTGCCGTTGTCCTACGGAGAAATTGGTTCCACCCTCGGAAACTTGGAAGTCTAACGCTGATATTGCTTCTTTTAGCTCCACCTGTTGTTAAAAATATTATATTGCAAGAGTGAATTCCAGATGTTTTAAAATTACAATGATCGTTTACAACAAACAAATTTTAATTAATTCTGTAAACATTTTAATCCTGTACATTCACTTTTTCGATTTTTACATATACAATATACAGGTAGCAAGTCTAAAAAAGTAGACTTATTAACACGGAATCGGCTTAAGCCTTCCAGAAAAAGCTTTATATCCATACAATAAGAGCGAAAAATTAACATAATTAATTGATCGAATGAATTTTGTTTAATGTTCGATCTTTGTATTAATAATAAATAATTACAAACTAGTGGAGTAATTTCACATAAAATAATTGAATAATCAGGGAGTTGGGTCGTCGGCTTAGAGATACAGGCTGTGATCCACGCTCTGGATCTTACTTGGTGTAATAAATTTCGTTGGCCTTTCAACGCGGTAATACTGCCAGTGTTATGGGGACGTTTGAACCAGCTAAGATTCGGAGTGGTCCTTTTTCATTGCACCAGTTTGAATAAAAAAGGCTAACTCTGGCGAATTGTATTATTAATTTTTATGTGACGAAGCCTGTTGCTGATTTAAAATTGTGTCGCCCTGAAAAAGCCTACGTTGCGGATTGATAAAACTATGTATGTAATTAATTACGCGAAACGCTAAACGTCTCTTTTGCTCTTATTTTACATGTATAAAGCCGGCCCGAAAAAGCTTTATATTATAAAGCTTTTTCTAGCCGTCTTAATGCTTTTTCGTGTCGATAAGTGTGGTGACTCCGTTATTGCGCAATTTAGGCGATAAAATAAATACATGAAAGTGGATTAAAAATCAACTTATGGCCTTAATACATCAAGTGTTAATTCTACTTAAGTATTATTGAAAATGATTTTTGCAATTTTACTAAATCAGAGACAAATTAAACCTGCTCTAACGCCCTCCAAAGATCGTCATCACTGTACGTATTGAACGGGTCCAAATTATATCGCACACTGGCAGAGAACAACACCGGCTCTTGAGGAATAATTGATATCTTTGATCGCAGCTCCTGAAACAGTACACTTACATATAGAAAATAACATTGTTTTGTTTCAGAAAACTATTTTAAATATTAATCTTATACAGTTGAGATATTATGATGGGACATGATTATTGAACAATCACAAAAAAAATATTCAAAAAAAAAATGACTCGAACCAGCATCTATCGCCTCAACGTTACTACCGCTATGCCAACTGAGCTACGGATCTTTTCTATCATGTTCGACTTTATATCATTCATAATGACAAACTAATGGAGTATTGTCCCGAAAAATAGATGAATACCATGGTAGTAAATATAAAATAAGATGGGACATATGATTAGTTGTACCATAATATTTAGAATTTCATTATCAAAATTTCATCACGATTTTTCTATTCAGCTTAGATGGAGCAGAAAACATTACCTGTTTGGCGATTGCATTCGTATCAACCCCGTCTATTAGGATGGTGCCCTCAAGGTCGTATAATCGGAACAACGCTGATATTAGGGAAGATTTACCAGCTCCTGTCCTGCCCACTACACCCACCTATAAATTCATCGATTTAATATAAATACGTCATACAAATAGCGGTGATAACGAAAGTCCAGATTTGAAAGTACAGTTCTAGCATAGAACAATAAGACAAGTATGGTAACTCCATATAAAGTAGCAGAGCGGCTTATGTGTGCGGACCTATACACTCGCATAATCTCGAGGTGCATTCGCGTTACATAACGCGGGTTGTCACGCGCCATACATTATAGAATTAAAGCGGTCCGGCGTTGTTAAAAAACATCAAATAGTAGACGTGTTTATTGTTGTGTTTGTGGTAGTTTGAACAAGAATGCCTAAAATCAGAACTGTTTGGCATTTAATTTCTATTTCATTATCATACTCCATAATCAAGATACCAATCGGCGATACTAGTATAAAACTTTCAATACGTTAGTACCTACTGCATTTAACAAAGGTTATTTCAATACAGCACGAGAATACTGTGATGAACACCTTAATTTTTAACCGACTTACGAAAAAGGAGGAGGTTCTCAATTCGACTGTATGTTTTTTTATATATGTTAGGCGATAACTCGATCTTTAAACTTTGATAAAAAAATTTTGATGATTCTTTTTTTGTTGGAAAGAGGGCACCTCAGATGTGGTCCCATATAAATTTGATGAAAATATTCCACCTCCAAGGGTAGCAAACTAGGGGATGAATGATTTTTGAGGTCGGTTTTTTATTTCAAATTATGTTTAACAGGCGCGATTTGCCCTATTTGCTCTTTTTATACTGTGGTTATAGCAAGAATGTATTTCGATTGATAATACTGATACATTATCGACAATAACAAATACAATGTCAACAACAACAATATAAATTCATATTAATACCAAACGACACGTTTCCTTTGCCCTATTTCAGATATTAAATTAATGTTTATCTTATATAATATTATAGCATTAAGAGTATCATATTGCGTATTTTTAACCGACATTAAAAAAGGAAGAGGTTCTCAATTCGTCTGTAGGTTTTTTTGTATGTATGTTACGCAATAACTCCGGATTTGAGAACCGATTTGGACGCTTCTTTTTTGTTGGAAAGAGGGTACCTCAGTGTTCCAATTTAAATTATTTTGAAGAATGTATTCCACCTCTAAGTGTGGCAAACTACTACTATGAATCCGTTTTATCGCGCTCTTTCCGGTAACCGATTTCTATAAAACATGGCAAATAGATGTAATTCCACGAACTTTCGAGGTCGGCTTTTTAGTACTCCGTACTGAGATTATTACAATATGATTCGTTGACTACAACAAGTTGAGGGAAATGACGTATAGCTCGTACTTCATAATCACATTTCTTTTGCGTAGACAAGGTAGTTTTGCAGATTCGTGCACCTGATTCTAGATTCTTTGTTTCATTCAATTAATATCAAATGGATCGCCACAAAAACGTGCATTATCGAAATTGCTATGATGCCTTAAACTCATAAACGCAACGGTAACGAGCAAGTTCCTCTCCCGTAATCATTGTAATAGATGATTGAAAACACGCATTGAAACTGTGTTAACCGTAATAACCTAATCAAAAATCTAAACTGTGTTAATAAGACTAATAGCTACCATACCGTACCAACTAATTACAACAAAACGAGTGTTGGCTGCCGCCCACTAACTAAAATACGGCAAAATGACAAATGGTCAAAAAAAGAGCAAAAAATAGAGTACAAAATTCTCTTTTAAAAACACTTAAAATTAGTTAACGTCTAGTATCGGAACTTACTCTAACGATGTATAGCTGAAATATCGTTAAACAATTTCAATATTCTAAAACTGAGTTATGGTGGACGACAGATGTGGCATGTAAGCAATAATTTTAACATTCTATATTATACTTTTGATCTGGATAGTTTCCTAAAGTAGTCCCTACTTCCTCCAGTTGGCGCTGAACAGTCCTAGGGAAGTCGATATGGACCTCGAAAGCAATTGGAGGCTGTTGAAGCTGTCCAGGGGGTGCCATTTGTAAAAGTTTGAGAACCATAGGTCAATCTATTTTCATTACGAGTGTAATTTTGACAAGGAGAGCATTGATTTCACTTCTTTCACTCATAGTCATAGGTTTACACTGGTGCAATGCTGTAGTAATTTTATGTTTTATATAAAAAGTTAGTTTAATTGTACGCCCAGGTTCTATATTGTATATCTATTTAAGAGGATTTAAAATTAGCTCTCGTTGTTATTATTATTAAATTTAGTTTTAAGCTGTTGGACTTTATTTTAAATAAATAAATAAATTAGTACTTAAATGCAATGGTTCTTCATTTTCTGCTAAATCAGTACTTCTTGACATGTATATTGCATTATATATTATGTTTATCTATATATTTATTTGACATTCTTAACAAGTATATGAAATTATCGTTCATTAATAACGTCAGCATTAAAATGGACATAATCGTAAAAACTAAAAAACAGGCTGTCTAAATATATTCGAAAATTTTCTTACACAAATTATAAACAAGTATATAGGTATATATAATAGAACAAACCTTCCAACCATTCTGTATCTCAAAGTTAAGATTCTTAAGCACAGGAGGGTCGTTAACACCGTATTGCATGAACACTTTTTCAAATTTGACTGTTCCTTGTGTGGGCCAGTCTTTCGATGGTTGTATTGCTGCAACAGTAATTTTGTTTTTATAAGGAAATTGAACGTAGACAATAATATTAAAACACTGTAGTCTATAAAAAATAATTTACATAAATAACAAACAATAAAATATTTATTTACTTTAACTTACTCCTAGTTTACAGTAGTATGATTTGAGCACTCGTTTTAAAAGTAACTATTTACTTGTATTTAAGAGTTCTGCTCTTGCACATTGCAAAACCAGGTAAAATACATGGCTACGGTTGTCCCCTGAACGCAGAAATCCTAACCAATGAACTTAACGCAGTTAAGGGGAAACACACATTAATGATGATGGCTGAAGATTTAGAACGTCAAGCATTGTCATCTGAAGAATTATCTTCCACTGACTACATAAACATTAAACATTGGCGTGCCAATATCGGTAACAAGTAACATTACAAAGTCAAAAGTAATTTGTTAAAGCGATGCCACACTATCGCTGGCCCCTCTTATCCGACGCGCACGCGTTCTGTCGCTGCACGCCGCGTTTCAACGCACAATGTGTCATGTAGTTCTAATTTATATGTAGTACAAGGCAGCCTCACCGCTCAGGCGTCGTAACGCCGACCCCACGTATTGTGTGGAATCGCTCTAAAGTTACAAATCTCACCTCCATGATCCATATTATTTTCAAAGGGTAGATTGGTATACTCCAAAACTCTCTCAACAGAAGTCATCTGCGCAAGGAAGTCGGCGGTCAATCTTGCAGCCATCTGCAGCAACATGGTGAGAACCATAGACTGGCTCACGGCAAGACCTATACTGCCTACTGGAATAAGGTCGCCTGGAAACCGTTATGTTATTAATTATTATGGAGTTCGTTGGTTTCGTTTTGGACTAATTCCGTGTAAACTTGTCTATTTGTCAAATTGAAGAAATGTAAGAAGTCGGACCAATTCACAACGATGGTAATAGTTCTTCATATAAGTCAAGTAAGAAAATGTTGGCATAGAATTTAAAGGTCAATTATTCATAGAGAAGTAAAAGTATATCCTTGTGTGGTTCACAACTGGTATATTTTGTAGACATTTAGTAGAAGTGGTTTACAAAATTCATCCAATATTAAACATTTTCATTAGTTTTAAGTTTGTAATCTCACTTTCTAGTTTTTTTTTGGTAATCCTTATGCAAATATGTTTACACTTCGCATAATGATGCCGTATGTACAAGTATTAGATCTACATTCTAGATTAAGTCCTTAAATTATATCTGAAACATGTTCCACTGAATGTAAACTGTTTTCTACACCCAATAAAATAAAAATAAAATGTTAAAAAATGCGTACCAAAGTCAATCAAGATAAAAATAGTTAAAATAACTGCAAGATAAATAAGACACAGGCCGTCCAGGTACATGCCAAAGGCAGAAGATCCTCCAATGAATGTGTAAAAAGCACTAGTGTTTAAATTCTGAAAAAAAAAAATTTTGCAAGGAAGTAAGTAGGTACAAAAGTAAACTTCTTACATTCTCCATTCAAAACCAAAATCTAATTACCTGAGCTTCGTCAAATGTTTTAAGAAGTCTATCCTGGGAGTTACTACTCCTTATGGTGGACAGTCCCGAAATTGTAGAATTGATCATACCAAACACGGGACTCTTAGCTGCAAACAAAATTACAACGGTTAAATAGATGGCTAAGGTTTAGGAACAATTAAACATACAAATGAAAAATCTACCAAAAACAAAGGAAAGAAAAATCAGATAATGAGATAGGAGAAACAATAGTTAAAAACTGTTGGATCAAGAACAAATTAAATATAGCAAACTAAACGGAATTACATAAAAAAACTGCAACGTAAATATGTACACAATTATTCAGTAATATCAAAGGCTAAATTTGTATAAATATTGGACACTTAAGCGTATTTAAAACTTATTATAGTTTAATTAATGAAACAATTTTTTTCAGATCTAAATGTAATTATATTTATTTTTTCAAACTAAGTAAAATTAGGAGCTTTATAGGAGTCTGAAACGCGAGTTTAGACAAAAAAAATTGTTTAATTTATATGTAACAGTGGTGAAAACCAAAAAATTTGAAAGTATTTTAAGTTAGACTCACTTGTGCCTTCCAATCTCTTCACGGCCTGAGCGGCATTTAAATACCACTTCAACAAAGTAATAAATATCACAATAAGCACGAATGTGGGTATCAACGTCCAAGGGAGAGCAATTGCATTCAAGATCAATATACTTGTCATACCCAGGTACATTTGAATGCACTCAAGTAAACTTCTAGGAAGTAATTCATCCATCGCTCCCAAGTCCTTTGAAAATCTGTTCAATACGCGACCTAAAACAACAGTTAGAACTTATTGTAGGGTATAAATGGTACTATTATTAATGTAATAATACACAGCACAAGTTATAATGCTAAGGTGACTATAAGAAGGCCGCATTAGTTAGTCCTCGCCTGTGACGTACAGGGGCGCGGAGGTGGGCTTAGGTTCCATTACGATACACACGAGATGAAAATATTTGCGGATAGTTCTAACGATACGTTACGTTATGATTTTGTTAATGGTGTGCTAATTCATCAATGGCACATGACTGCAGCATTCAATGTTTTCAGAATTAGAATTTTTATAAGTTGTGTAAAATTGAGTAATCTTCCTTATCTTTTAAATCATCTATATCTATTATTTTTCTTCGAATTTGTTTTGATTTTTTGAGTGCTTGAAATGTTAATTATTCTTTGTCAATATCCTGCTGTGTAGTCTTACACACAAACTTTTCCGATAACTAAGTAACTTCCGCTACGGTTTTGTTTAAGATTTTGATGATATCCACAGATAAAGTAGGCGCTACGGCGTCGAATAGCGGAAAGCAGCCCGTTATTAACCTTACCATCTGTTTGATGTTCAGTCGATTTGGGTTCAAATTTTATTTTTAAATATTCTTACACGTAAAATGCTATTTGCTTGGCCTAACCACCAATTTTGTGTTGATCAACTTGTCTCGGAAATGAAATCACGTGTGTATGTCTCACAGAGTGACCGCTACCTGTGCGAACATGCTGGCGAATTAAAATTACGTCTGCCGCCCGCTCCCCGTGGGATTTCATGCCCCATGTCGTAACGGAAGATGACTGACATATGCAGACAACCACTAATATTATAATTTGTGACCAAACCATAATTTCCTAAATCTAAAAATAACGCCACAAGGCAATAAACATTCTGTAATTTTTTGGAAAAACATTATCCTAAAGACATTTGCTGAACGCTCTGACTGTCAATACATGAACCATTGCACCATTTTACATCTATTGACTAAATCTAAAATAGTATTCTAATTGTAATTTCATTTGGTTTTATTTATATAATTATTTCTTTTAATTTTTTATTTTATTTTAATTTTGTACTATATTTTATTTTTGAGTTTAATTATATTAAATCTTTGTAATATATGATCCATGTTGGTGGATATATATGATTTATTATATTATTATTATTAACAATATTAATTAAGCTACTTACTTATATAACTTTATATAACAATTGCACGGATTACAATTTAAGAAAAAAATTTTAATTCATGATAATTGTTACATTTTGAAAGCCCATTCACAGTTTTCATGTACAAACGAATTAATTATTTAACATAAAGTGCTGTTGAGTCAACTTTAGAAGAGATCGTCTCCAATGCAAAGATTAATGCAGTGTGATACAATAATGTGTCTAACGATGTACCTTGTGCCAAAAACCAAATTATGTCCAAAATCAAAATAATGTTGTCCAAATAATTAATCAAGGATGAAAGTGAATGATGATGATGGTTTTAGTCTGAAACAATTGCAGGATAATGATCAGAATTCTACGACGACATGATGATAAAAAAAATACAGTTCTTACCAGAAGGATTCGTGTCGAAAAATTTCATGCATGCAGCAATCAAATTCTTGAATACATAGTTGTGCATATTCTGCGATGCCCTCATTGTTGTTGCGACAAAGATACCAATCCTCACATGCAGGAATATTATAATTGATACTATCAGGCAGCCGTATATTAAAAGATATTGCCCTATAGTTAAATTACCCACTTCATAGTCCAAATCGGTTTCTGGAAATAATTCAGTCTAAAATTCACCATACTAGATACTTATAATAAAGCAAGAAAACTAGGTAAATTCGTTTCATCCAATACTCAGCCTATAAATATATTTAGTCGGTGAAAACCTCGTACCTAACGCCGTTTTTGGACGAAATCCCGTTTTTACTCTTCAAGCGCAATATTGGGCAGTAAAGCTTAATATATAATTTCTAGACTCTTTTTAAGTTATAAAATTAAAGTATTACTAAAGATTGTCACATAAATATTTCTAGGAATTCTCTATTTTTTGTACCTATTCAAAATTTCACATTAATGGAGGTGCGAGGTTAACAAATTCAGCCAACGATTTACATAATTATCTGCTTAGCAATTAATTAAAACTATCACATGTTTTGGGCAAAGTACAGTTAATATTTTTTCCCTTATAAATATTTAAGAAACCATAAATAATTACCAGGCTCCCTTTGATTATCGTTGATATATGAATTCACTTGATTGGTCCTGTAAAATAATAATGTTACTTGACGCTGGTACTTATAATATTATTTTAATTAATGTCTTTTAATTTGTCAATTTTAATCCGCTGCATTCTTAATACAAATGCACTAGACATTATTATTATATCTTTTAGGAAATAATCCTAGGGCATATCCCAATTCAAATAATAAAATCACACAGTACGAATACATCACGCTCCTCACCAGTAACTCAGCCAATAGTCGGAAGCGGTGGCTGCTCCCTGCGATACAAACAAGGCTAGCAACACTCCGAAAACCATGCACCAAGACTGCACAGAGCTAAGGTACTTCACCACCACCTCGAATTTCAAACTCCCTTGAGCCCTTTCCTCCGCCTCCTGTATTTGTTCTTTCTCATCTTCGGAGAATTCATCGCTCTTCACTGAAACACCTCTTTGCAGTGATGGTCTTCGTTCAATCTAAAAAGGTAATCAACAATGGTCTTATTGTATTTCAAAATATAGTACAATCATAGGAATTGAACATATTTTTTCGCGATTTGGATCAGAAAAAATAGTTTCATTTATTACGTTATAACAATTACAAAAACCTAAGAACTCGATATATTATAAGTGGTACAGCGTACGGCTCCGCAGCTGAGCTGATAGAAAGCATAAAAAGTAAAGTACCAGGATCTAGGCTCCGACTCCTATTTACAGCCTTTGGAGTCGAACCCTTGGCCCGTGGGGTCCCAGTGCCCTTCATCTGTACAAAATTTTATCGCAAAAATTAATTGATTGTCTGGGAAACCCAAGGGCCGGCAGCTACCTTGCCTAACGCATTAGCATAGCAATACAAAGGGGGAACGCTGCCAGCATCTTGGGCACCTTGCCGCGGGGACCCAATTATATTCATATAATTTAAAAATCCTAGTTTTACTTTCTAGTAGTTAAGCTTTTATTGTCTTTTTACCTTACCTGTATATTATCTTAATTAAAACACAAGTACATTAAATTTTTCAGGTGACCTACTTGAAATAATTCCCAACTTTCGTCTTGTATGAGAAGTCGATAATGCGAATTAGAATAAAAGAAACTTTTATAAGTTCTCACTGGTAGCGATACGGCTATAAAGCCGTTTAAAAACAATACGAAGAAAGTTTAGGTAGCAGTAGAGCCTCTAAATCCGTACCTATTTCTGCCGCCAAACAGTAATATTAGCATTACTGCGTTCCGATTTTGAAGAGTAAGGGTTCTGGTGAAATTACAGGCACATAGGACTTCTCAATTTATGTGTTAGGGTGTCGGGCGCAGTGGTCATATCTTTGTAAATTATTTATTCAATTTGTTTATTATCAATAAATATATTTATTGCCAATAAAGCTCTGAGTGGCACTGCAACTGTTATTTCCATTCGCGCAGCTCTTTTGCTAGTAGTGCTAGCACGACACATTACGCGAATTGCGCGAGAACGACATAGATGTGAGAGATATTGCTATTCTCTATGCGAAGTCGCGACCTACCGTGCTAACCACTATGTGGTCTGTGGTGCTAAGCCTATAGATATTGTATGAAAATTATTAGTGGTTGCCGCGACACAGACCCCGTCACTGCACCGCTTCAACTAGCGTCTAATTTGAAGGTGCACTAAAGTAGAAAAATACACTTACAACTGTTCTTACTGTTTTCGTACAAACTTAATGACTAAATCCTTTAAAATGATTAATTAGTTCATTGACTCACTTTGTCCGATAACATGTGAAAGTTATCCATAAATGGTACTTACTGTATCTTTAGTCTGCTTTTCGGTGGCACTTGAGTCAGATAGAAGCGCTGTAAACTGTTTTTCTGATTTCATCAATTCGTCATAAGTACCAATATCTTCTATGGCACCCTAGAAAATTAAAACTTGATTCAGCGAAAGCACGCAAATAAAGAGGGGAAAAAAGTACATTTTAGTATCTACCATACCTGAATATACTTTTGTACAAAAATGTAATATGCAAAAAGAAACTAGGCCATCAGCCTCGACTGATAGGATTTAAATGTTTTAAATGTACATACTAAATCTGAAGAATTGCTGTGGAACAATTATCAAATACATGATTAAAATAACCTCTTTAAGAACAACAATATAGTCGGCAGCCTTGAGGAAGTGTATCTGATGCGTAACCAGGATGCAGGTGCGCCCTTTTAGGTAACCGTTAATGCAACCTTCGAATAGCTGCCTGCCCACGTTTGCGTCCACCGCTGACAACGGGTCATCTAGGAGATATATGTCTGCCTGAAATATAAAAAATACCCTGTAACACTTTGACTTAATCACGTTAGCCTTTAGCAGAATGATTAAATTCATTACTTAGAATAGTTGTTGCTATCATAATGCCTAAATGATTGTTGCTATGGTGAAATTACAAGCACATGGGACTTGTCAACGTATCTCAGGGTGACGGGCGCAGTCACGGTGCCCCCTCAGGTCTTTGCGGTTTAAAGCTCCTTGTGGCACTGCAACTGTTATGGACGGGCGTGTAACTTACCATCAGGCCCACGATTACTTCGTCCCGTCACTCGATTTTTTATTAACAAAAAATATATGCTAATTACAGTACACGTACAAAATCTTCTTTATATCAATCCCCTTGTTACCCATACGAAACCAATTTAAGTAGCAATAGGACTCCTGTGAAAGAGTTCGTCCAGGGAAGTACTGCCACCTTACCTATTACTTACTCATAGTAATATCAACATTACTGCGTTCCGGTTTTAAAGCGTAAGGGTGCTGGTGAAATTACAGGCACATGGGACTTGTCTCAGGGTGACAGACGCAGTTGCAGTGTCCCTCAGATTTTAAAGATCTGATTGGCACTGCAATTGTTATGGACAAGCGTGTCACTTGGTACCATAAAAAATAATATTACATTATTCTGGGAGTTCACATGTATACTCGTATGAAACCTGAAATACTAAAATTTCTGTGACAACTGTCTACATTATCTTTACTTTTTTTTTCATAGGCGTCGCCAGTCTATTTCTTTTGGTATAGGTGTGAATTGTACAAATTCAATTTTGTAATACTTATTCGTACCTACCTATTTATTGGAACAATCTGGTCCGTAATAATTACTAAATATCTTTTTATAAGACTTGTATACGACTATGTTTTCTTATATAAATAAATAATAATAATATACAATATCGATAAACCATTGTGTAGTTCCGTAAATTCTATTTACAATCTCTCAGCATCTCTCAATAATGAGTCAAAACAAGCCGTACATATTTATTAGGAAAGATAATTTTTAAACTTAGTAATTAGTAATTTAGAAATAAAACAATTTTTTTGCGGATCTTAAACCGCGTATACTTGCTTTTTCAAACAAACCAATGAACAAACCAACGAGTCAACCGTGACTATAGGGACCTGTAATTTTTTTAAACTTTTCATTTATTTATTCATTTGCATCAGGCGACTATTTTCCATATAATATATACGAGTATTTTAAAGACTAACATTCATAAAATGGTAATATAAATTCATAATATAGAAACTAAATAACTAATCTACACGAATTGCACTTGTCGGCAACGTGTAACGCAATAAGATGTCAGGTAACAATGGTGTTATCTTGTAGCACATATATAATTTGATTTTCCAAACGTTGGTAAATACACGTTAAATACAATACTGTAAATCAAGACTGTCTACTATTTACGGAAATGCTATTATATCGTTAAATATATACATACTACCTGGTGCCCGCGACTTTGTCTGCGTAGAATAAGAATGGATACTATACAAATTTTCATAGTTTTATTGGTTTTCATACAAACTTTCATCCACTATTTCACCCCTTTTAAGATTTATGTTTGTGACAGAAAGTAGCCTATGTTATTCTCCTAGGTCTCATCTGTCTCTATACCAAAATTGGTTCAGCGATTTAGGCGTGAAAACGTAGCAGATTATTATAACAGAGTTACTTTCGCATTTATAATATGAGTTTGGAATTCTGCAAAGAATAGAATACAGTATTTATTGCATTTTTGTTGTTTCACGGGTCTAATTTACGCGGGCGCGACATTAGTTAAAGATTCAACGGAACTTGATTTTTTGAAAAATGGCTCAATGTAAGTTATCTTGGACGAATTCTATATATAATATAAAGAGAATTGTATTCTCTAAAATAATATAAAAGTATATATATTAATTTTTGTATTATGTATTGAGTTTCTTGCTCATTCTTCTCAGGGGAATCTGCCTTACGAATTAGCGGTAGAGTTTAACCAATATTACGATTTCAAGTGTAATAACGCTTATTTATGAAATAAAGATTATTTTGATTTTGATACGTGCTCCTGATTTAGTGTTGGCATTATTTGTGAGTAGTGACACCAATGGATTAGGAGCGCAGTAGTATTTACTAAAATCGGAAAACTGTTTAAGTAAACTGTGGTTAACGGTATTGGTTACTCATTGAGTCAGTATTTGTTAGTCATACAAATAGAAATACAAAAATTCTTTATTGTACACCAAAAAAAAGGAAACAAATGCAATACAATTAAATTAAAAATAAGAAATGATGCAATTGGCGGTCTTATCGCTTTAAGCGATTTCTGCCAGACAACCTTTGGATGAAAGTAATTATATAATTCACAGGAAAAAGACGGCGGTGTATGAATAATATTCTATTTATAATATTCTATTATTAATCAATAGATTTTTATCTATTGATTAATAATAGATAAAAGTCGATAAATAAATACAAATATACATATATTCATAAATAGTAAAACCAAAACATGTATCTTATACTACTATATATTCTGACACCTATAAATATAAAATTTCTAAAACATAATTTCATAACATAAAAATACCTAAGCAGTTCAAGTCACACTAAAGTTAGGTAGTGTTTCTTTTACTATATTCATAGTCATAGCTATGTACTATCTGTAATGTGTAACTGTTTGTTGACCCCAATAAATTTAAAAAATAAAAATATTAAATAGCTGTAAAGGTACTAACTGGGTGATAAATCTGTAATAGATTTCTCATAGATGGCGCTACGACTAAAAAGTCGTTGAAAGACCAAGTACAAAGACACGACGCAAGCACATAGAGAAATTCGTGAGGTCCGTTGGTTCGTTTCGTGGCTTAGTTGGTATAGCCTCTGGCACGGTATGCAAGAAGACGTCGATTCGAACCCGACCGGATCGAAGGAATTTTTTCTGAGTGTTCGATCTTTGTATTAATAATTATAACAAACTGTAGTGTAGTAATTTGTGGAGTAATTTCACAAAAAATAATTGAATATCAATTCAATAAAAATTTAATTAAATAAAAATATTCTCCAATTCTTTAAATAAAGCAGGTAACATTAACGAAAAAATACAACAGCTACATACAACTGCCCTAGTTGAAGCAAATATAGACGATAACAATGAGTTGTAATCTCAATAAATACATATTTACTTTTGAGTAGACTTACAGCGACTTCAGAACAATACCCATATGTAAACTGTTGTATAATGCTACGTCACTGGACGTAGCATTGGAATACCACATCCACACTTTAACTTTGAGGAGGTCGGGTTATCACAATATTTTACCACCATTGTAGCCATAAGACATTTTAAGTCGTATTACTTGACTACGACCGAAATTATTTTTTTTAAATATTATTAGTATTCAGGATGTTTATTAAGACGACGACCAAAATTAAAGACTGTCTTTAATTCTTCTTCTGGACATTAAAACTAACCATTTTTATTGCACGATTTTGTGAGCACATTTAAATTCATAGTCGTTCGTTACGTAGAATAAAAAAGCTAGAAAAGTAAATATTGCAAATAAGAAAGAAGGAAAATATTTCCTGAATTTTCAAAAGCTATTTTTCAAATAGGGCTTATGAAACTATTTTTGTAATCTAAATTTCTGGTGAAATTACAGGCACATGGGACTTGTCAACTTATGTCTCAGGGTGACGGGCGCAGTGGCAGTGCCCCTCAGATCTTTGTGATTTAAAGCTCTAGTGGTACTGATAATGTCATGGACAGGCGTGTAGCTTACCATCAGGCGTACGACTTGTTCGTCCCGTCACTTAATATTATAAAAAAATACTTGTTTTTTCAAACAAACTAACATTTCAAGCTCTATATGTATATGTCACAGCTGATTAAGATGTCGTCAGTTATGTCTAATATTACTATACATCACCCTCTTTTTCACTACATTGTTATTAATTTAAATACGTTATTTTTAATTTACTAAAGAACATTCTCACACACGCACGCACGCACGCGCACACACACTCACGCACGCACGCACGCGCGCGCGCACACACACACACACACACACACACACACATACACACACACACACACACACACACACACACACACACACACACACACA